TTCTGCTTTTTGAAATAAGTCTAAAAAATAAGCCCTTATTATAATTTTAGCTTTAACTTAATTAGATCTAGCTAATAAAAATAGAGCTAATTTAATATAGCCTAATAATAAATCTGCTAGTAAGATTAGTAAAACTAGTATAACTAAATAAAAAAAACCTAATAAGAAAGAAAAGTAAGCTAAGCCTAAGACTCCTAATAAATAGCAAAAATCTAAATACTAGTTCAAGTATAAGGCTAGTAAAATAAAGAAAAATAAAGAGGAAAGTAAGAAGAAATCTTTTATTCTAAAAGAAAAGATACTATTTAGAAAAACTCTTATATTTATATCTAGAACTAAAAAGCAAAAAACTAAAGATATTAAATTCGGGGAACTTAAAGATATCTAGTATACTTATAAGATATTAGCTAAATAGAAGTTAATACTTACTTAATAAGATAAATATATTTTTAAGAAAATATATAGTAATATTTTAGAACCTATTTATAAATAAGAATACTATAGGATTATTAATGAATTCCTTAAAGCTTTTTATATAATATATATTTAGTAGCTTACTAATATTCTCTCTATTAATATAGGAGATATTAATAATATTAAGGACTTTCTAAAGCTAGTTACTAAGATCTATAAAGTTACTAAAAGCAAGAAATATATTTCCGTTACTTGAGTAAATAAAGAAATACGGGATTTCTTTTATAAAAACCAGGAAATTAAGAAATATAAATATAAGTATTATATTTCTAATTAATTCCGCTTAAATTTATAACTCTAATTTAATACTATAGTTTCTATTCCTGAATCTAGTATTACTAATCTAGATATAAATAGTTATATTTATAAGAAAGATTATCTAAAGTAAATTAAGAAGCTTAGTATTTAAAAGCTTTTAATAGAGGAAATAAAGATATTAAAGTTCTATTTCTAAAAAGATAATATATTAAAGTATAAAGATCTAAATAATAGTTATTTTATCTTAGTCTTTTAACTTTTAATAATAGATCTATTAATATGGCTCGGATTTTATAAGGTATTAAATAAGTACCCTATTTATTTAGTTATTTACTTTTAGCTAGCCTAATACTATACTTCTAGAAGTATTAATTATAATTAGTATAAAGGTAATATTAAAGATCTAGCTATTATTAAAGCTTTAAATAGCAAATTTTATCTTAATAAAAAGTATTAAAATATTAGCTATATTTTTCTTATAAATTATAAAAAGACTATTATTTTTAGTAAGAGATTTTTTAAAGATATTAATTACTTTTCTATTTCTAATAAATTTAAGCCAGAAGTAGCTAAGGAAATAGGCAAGTATTTATTAAAAGTAATAGAAGGAAAAACTCCGAATATAGTTTATTTAATTAGATAAATAAATGCTTTTAGCTAGATAATTTATAAATCTGGAATTATAGGCAAGTATTAATTCTCGAATAATATATAAGCTAAAGAATAGCTTAATAATAATTTACTATTTAATAGGCCTTTTATTATAATTCTAATAAGTCTAATTACTATTAAGAATAGAATATATGAAAATAGAGTTTCCTATAAGGTTATTAAAGCCTCTTATTTAGAGCTTTCTCCTTTTATTAAAGATTAATTTAAGAATACTATAAATAATACGAAATTCGAAGAAGCTATTTATTTAGAGTATATTAGTATGATTTATAATATAATTCGCTATAATAAGCCTTTTTAATACCTAGTAATAAAGGCGGAAATTAAGTAATAATTAAAGGCAAATACTAATTAATATAGAGAACTATATTAGATTTAGTATAAAAATATAACTAAGCGAGTTCGGGTTATTTTTAAACAAGTTCGGAAGTATGAAATAAGACTATTTAAGAGTAATAAGTTTTATTTTAGGTATATTAAGAAGAAATTAGATTAACTAATAAAGGAAAATTCTAATTATTTTATTATTTCGGATTCTAAGTAAGATTTTTCTGTTATTTTTAGTATTTAGGAAATAAGTATAAGTAAATAAGAAGTCAGATATAGTATAATAGGCTATATTTTCCAAAAATTATATTATTTTAGTTATATAGTAAAGGTTATAGCCTTTTATATATAACTTATAGAAATTGTATAAAAAAGCTGGTTTTTTTATAGTCCTAGAAAATAATCCCTTATAAGTATTTAATTAATTAAGCTTTTATATATTATATATTATTTATACTTTACTATTTATACTTTTAATTTATTATTTTGCTATTAAGTTATATTTTATACTCTAGTATACTTTATATAGGTTTTTGTCTTATTATAGTTTCCTTCTTATAATATTAAATCTAATAAATAGTACTTTGTCTTAATAACCTCTATTACCGTCTCTAAAAGTATACTTAATTATTCCTATACTTCTTTACCTACCCCTATCCTAAATCCGAGCTATAAAGAACCAGAAATAAAGTAGTCTTCGCTTTAAATCTTATCTTATTAATATGAATTCATAAGCTTCTTGAATTTCTATATAGTCTATATAAAAAGAAATAATATCTTAAATAGTATAGCTAGCTCTTCTATAAGTTTCGGTAATTCTCCTATAATAGGCAAATAAGAACTATAATCTTCCTATATTTTGAGAGATATATTTATTAACTTAGTACTTCTTAATACTCTAAGACGTCTAAATAATATACTAAAAATATTAAATAGTATAGATTTATGGTCAAGGAATAGAGAATTCCTGATTTTAAATAGTCTTTTAGTATTTAACCTCAAAATCCCGCAATTCCTGGATAGTAGTAATAACGAGTACCTCAAAATCTTTTACTAGGCTAGCCATAGTACGTTAAGTAACCTACCGTCAAGTGATTGGATATTCGGAATACGCTACTTAATAACTTTGTTGCATATCGGTAAGATTTTGTCTGGGATACCTTGTATTTCCCTGTTCCTGGATCTTAGCTCCAAGATTTAGTTACTCTAATCCGCATGCTCGAAACTTTGCGTGAAATAGCGAGCTTTCGGCCAAGGTTTAAGGGGTAACTTTTGCAAGTCTGTGATTCTGCGTTCTCGATTAGCCGGATAGTATTCATTCCGAAAATAAACGCTGCCAGGACGCAGCGTTTTTTTCTGCCGGTGCACGTGACCAGCATGTGCCACACGCGAATAGCTATATTCCTCACTAGCATAGGCCATTTGGGAATGGCCATATATTCCTTACTGGGAGGTGCCATATACGAATAGCCATATTCTTTACTAGATAAAAGAATATATTTAGAAAGGCTATATAAAGATTACTAGTAACGGAAGTAAGGAAGCTACTTAATAAGTAATTAATTAGTAAGTAATTAATTAGTAAGTAATTAATTAGTAAGTAATTAATTAGTAAGTAATTAATTAGTAAGTAATTAATTAGTAAGTAATTAATTAGTAAGTAATTAATTAGTAAGTAATTAATTAGTAAGTAATTAATTAAGCATACGGGATTCTTATTAGTTAGCCCTTTCCTACTACCCAAATTTTCTGAACAAGGGGCAATTTTCTTAAAAACGCTGCCGCTCGCGGTAGCGTTTATTTTATCTCGCGAATATTGAAAGTTCGGTCTTCACAGGGCAAAAAAAAACGCTGCCGCCAGCGGCAGCGTTTTCAATAGCGGGGTAAGTAGTAGTTTATTATTATTATTTGAGATAACTCGCCCGCAACGAGGTGTTTCCTTGAACGGAGAACGAGGAGCTACTATTAGTATATTATACTATAACTCTACTAATTTTTTCTGTAAGAAAAATGCTCGTTATTATCGTAATAATTAATCAAAGGGGCCTTGCGATCGGGCGCACGCTTCACTCGGGCGGTGAGGGATGTGCGCACTAGCCGCATCTGGGGCGCAGGTGCGGCAGCGTTTTTTTTGCGGTGATAATCTTACATTCAAAAGCAGTAACGAGTAATATCGCTTCTGAAAATCGAGAGCTAAGAACTGATTACGACGCGAGCGATCTTGGGGCTTGAGTATCTAGAATGCGATTGTTCTTGAGGCTAGAGTAGATCAAGCGTAAGGCGATAGCCCAATTCTCCTCAGTCTATGGTCGTATGTGACAGCGATTCAGATATCTGACACTATAAACCATATAAAACTCAAATTCTAACACAATTCGAAGATCAAATTGCAGAATTCCGGAAAAGTCGACGATACCTCGGCACTAGATCGTCAATAGAGTGAGTGGGTCTCTGGACCTTAGAACCGAGATTTGCGAATGCCGCTTTTCCAGAGGCGCAATCGATCGAGAATGTAGAATCGAGCACGTGGACCTGCAAATGCTGCTGCCTAGGTAAATCTTGGCCGACGGCGTAAGGTTCGGGCACGTGGATCGGAGTAAGGTTAATTAATCCCTGGAGCCGAACTCCGCGGAATGTAGAACCATAATTAGAGAAATATAGATCAAAGGGAGGTATAGCCCTCGTAAAGATGGGTCTCAACACTAGAGAGTAAGAAATCGCCCGTTTGGAGTTGCGAGGATCGGTTCGTATGTGTTAGGACTAAGGTTATTGTCGTGGGAGCGACTGACTGACTGACGCGTGCTGGGGGGTGAGCAAGGAGTGGAAACCGCACATTTCTGCAATCTTGGCGCGCTCCGCTCCACTCGGTTTTCCACCCCTGGTCCGTGTGTGCGTTGGCTCTCCTAAGATGACAACCTCAAATCTGGTTTCATACCACGACATCTGTAAGTCTGTCGTCTCATGAGAAGACTATTATTCATTATACTCTCATGCATGAGCTTCCTTCCCGAACACACTCTCTGCACACGTCCAGGAGGATACTCTTCCAGCAGATCTGGCGAAAGCCTGGCCGCGTACGAACTTGTTTCGCATTCTCGTGCATCGAAGTTACGGAGAATTGCGCCATATTAAAGACGAATTCGATCGCACTGGTGGGCGGAACGAACAGAACTCTCGGGAGGTCCCTTCTTTGCCTCCCATTATATCGTACTGAAATACTGCACCATTGTCACCAGCCTTAACGACTACGCAGCTTCACAAATTTTATCTCCAACATGGATAGCTCACTTGGAGGGACGCCTTGTCCCCCTCTTTTCCCAACTGAGGTTCTCTTCTCACTTCAAACCTCGGAGGGACAGCCTATAAAGCCCGAGATTTTTGGGATCATTGATAAAGGGTTTTTTATGGCCGACAATGACTGGACCTGTTACCGAAGAAACTACTTCTCCTTAAGTTGCTCCTATACCCTCCAACCTACGATCCCAAAAGGAGCTATATATCTCGTAGGAAAACACGGCGGCTCCGGTGCCCAAGTACACAACTTCGCCATGTCAATAGCAGCCGGTGTCGACGGCCAGGACGGGAAATCCATCGAACTCGTCCAACACACTCCCAAGCGCGATAAAGGGCCGCAAGACGCCCCCGCACGCATTACCCTTGCGCCCCGTCCCCCCGCGCCTCACGGCCTCTACGGAGGAGACAGCGGCTTAAGCGGCTCTAGAGGCAGCATCTACGACGCGCAAGGCTTTAACCAGAACCCCAACTCCCCTCAAATCGAAGCAACCTTTGAACGCATCCAATTCAAGAACGCCACAGACAATAATGAAAAACGGCGCGCAGCACAACAGTACTACCACCTCTTTGTCGAGCTCTTCGCAGACGTGGGACCCCAGCACGCGGACCGTTGGGTGAAAATCGCATCACGGATGTCCGCGCCGATGGTGGTGCGTGGTCGTTCACCAGGGCATTACCAAGGCGAACGCCGCGGCTCCAATACGTCTACAGGACCTGGTGGATCAGGAGGAGCAGGTGGTGGATGCGGCGCATATACACCTGGCTTAACGCCCAGAACACCGGGCGATATCACGATGTCTGGGACATCGTCTATGTTACTTGGTCCTGGATACAGCGGTGGCTATGATGGGCGGGGTCATTATTACCGCTCTAACATCGCACCTTTAGAAATCCCTGCAGAACCAACTCTCTCCGCTGAAGAAGCGAAATCCATCCAGGAATCACCTGACTATCTCTTCCACCCTGGATCGATTTATGAGGGGCATGAAGCGAGATATCAGCTGCCAAGTGTGTCTAAATACACAACGGCGAAAATCAAGCCCGAGTATGGCAGTGAGGGGTCTACATCATCGAAACCCGTTGCAGGCATAAAGGGGAGCAAGGACACCATTATGGAATCGACTCAAAGGAATACAACCCCGAGGTTATCTACTTCCTTGTCGACCGCAGCCGAACATATTTCCGCTACATTTAAAAGCAAATCTCAACCTAGCAGTAAAATCAAGCAGGAAAGCAACATCTCTTCCAGCTTTGATTTTGATTGCGGGGAACAGCTGGCTCGGATCAGAGACGCAGTAATTGCTGGTAGCACAGATGAAAGTTCAAAAACAATTAGTGTCGGGCAAAAATATGACAGAACCCTGTCACTGACCATTTCCTGGGATGTTTTGGGATTCACACGCCTATACATAGATGAAGGCTCTGGCGGAGACTTAGCATCAGCGATTACATTGACCGGTTCGGCGTTGTTTGCCCAAGCAACTACATGTGCTGCATACTTGAAGCAAAACTGGCCCCTCACATGTGAGAATGTGCTCTCGGTCCTGCAAGCAGCTCTTAATAAAGAAGATCGCACAGCAAAAGGTCAGTTTTGTTTACTTTCCTTGTTGGGTTCCCATTACATTCCAAATACTCAAAGAGAAGGCACTGAATTGAGATGTTCTGGAAATCAATGGGAGCACCACATCTGACATCTTCTAGTACAATATTCCACCCTCGAAATTTGCATTGAACATTTCGAGCCAACGCTAGTGTCTGTAAAAGGTTCTGAAGATGCAATTGTCGAAGTCGTGCAACAGCTCGCTTGGATTGGAGCCTCTTTCAGGACCTCCACTGATGACCAGATCGAATACTGCGAGGCAATCGTTTGTAGGTCAGAGTCTGATACTCTGAGTCCAGGGGCCCTTACTATTACCTTTGAGAATAAACGACTGGAAAAAGAGCAAGTGGCATGCTGGCATTCGCTATTTTGTAACGCTACCATCGCAACAGGATTTCCAATTCCTAGTCGCGGGGATGAAATCGGACTCGAAATTTCTCTGGAGATGATGGCTGCGCTAGGAGGTGCAACGCATGCTTTTGAGTTTGAAGGTGGCCTTATTGTGAAAGGCCATTCAACAGCATTTGTTCCTACGAAGAAACAAAACGACGTGGTTCAATGGCATTGTATTCGCAACACTGACGGCACAACACTCGCATACAAAGATGTTGTGCAGAGATGCCCGCTCAGAGCACTCTTATCAGATGTGAACTTGAAAGATATTAGAGCACGTAGCATACTAGGCTGGTGGCCTACGGTAGAATCACATCTTGGAGCGGATGTCAATTACGAGAACATTTCTTGGTCCGGGGCCTCTGAGGCAAAGAGATCCGTGAAGCTGTCAGGGGCATCGCTGGGATTTTCACATATCGGAGCAGGAACGCTCAGCTTTGCGATGTCGGATAGGGATCACCGACTTCTTATTAAGAGGGAGGGGCATTCGTCTTTGCAAAGGATTATTCAATGCGCGACCAAGATACCCGTCGTATTATACGACAATATTGAGAAAAGAGGATGTCTCGTGCCTGCATCCGATGCTATTCTGCACTTGGCACTCAAGAAACTTTCAAAGACACGGTATAAGGTTAATGAAAAGTCGGTCGTTCCAAAGTTTGCTAACCCTTTACGGCATGGTTTTGACGCTGCGCGTAAATGCCTGGTAGAAAATTTACCCTTAAAGCTAATTAACAAACTCGAGGGAGACGAACTGGGAGACAAGGATTACTTTTTTAAAGATCTTTTCCTAGAGATGTGGTCTTATATGGAAATTTTATCAGAAAGAGGCGTTGAGCAGGCTTCTGCACCCGGAGAGACTATTAAGGGGATGCAGGATATATTATATGGTTGGGAATTCATGGATCTAGTTGACGACGTCCAGACTTTGCAGCAAAACCAGGTTATTATTGAAAAAACAAGCGGAGGATGGGTTAATCTTCTCGAAGATTTGGGTAGTGTTGTGGTTCTGCTCGCTGCTGGGCTGGAAGATCTTATAAGGCCTACATTGACCCAAGGCTTGTGTCACGAATGGAAGATGGTTCCAAAAGGGAAAGATTATCTGGCGACTGGAGTTCCAATGTTGAACATGCTATATGAACGTGTGGGCCCTCAATCAACTCGAGAACGCATCACGCGAAAGGGATTGATGTTACACCAGCTCTCCCTACTCTTCGAGCATTGTCGCAAAGGGCGAGCTTTCCAATGCGGGTGTGTTCGTCTACAACAGCTCTTTTATGACTCGTTCTTTACCTTCAGAGAGATCCGATCACCCAGCCCACTCGATGAAAAAGGCGCGATAATATTTGGAAGTGATGGCAGTATTATCCACACTCGGAAGCTGAAAACGAAAACTCGAGAGAAATTCTACAGTCAATCAAATGTTCAGCTCCGCATTGAAGGGGACAGCATGAGCCAGCAAGCATTTGAATCCCGTCCCTTTGTATCTGGCGAAGGAAGTGCCAAAAACGCTGAAAAGGTGTTTTCGTCTCCCGTGAGCCCAAAGCCATTGACTACACTGCCAACTTTCGAGCAGGGGGCCGAATCTGACACCACAGAGATTGTTGCCAATATCAATTCCCAGGGTGTAACCTGGGGAGACTACCCCAAGCAAAGGGGCAGATCAGATGAGAACGTCTCTGACACCATATGCGGCCAGGCGCCGAAGAGGGGCAGATTAGACAAGAACGTCTGTGACAGCATTTCCGGCAAGGGACCGAAGAGGAGCATGCCGACGAGGGACCGGAAACATACAATGGACTGAAAGGAATCAAAAGCAGCATCACGTGGGCGTTTTGATTTGCCTTTATGCGATCTTGTTCTACGGCTTGAATATTGGAACTCATTTCGAGGATCTTAACTTGCCTCGAGAGCGAAGCTCTGGAGCTTAGCAAACGAGATCCGAGAACCGCATCTCTTTTGAATTTCATTTAATGGCCACGATTTCATCCCCTGGATATGATATATATCGCACCTTCGATGGTAGAGTAACCCAGGACCATAGAGATAGCCCAATTCTCCTCAAGTCTATGGTCGTATGTGAGGGAAATTGAGCCTATTATCTACATTGTCCGCTAGGGATTAGCGGGATGCCATGGGATAGATTTTAGGCCTACTGTATTAACTAGTTTCTTGGATCTCAAAACTGAAACTTCATCATTGCCGCTTTTAATATCAATTTTACTACTTAAATTTGAGTGCGTGGATCTGCGAAGTTGCTGCTTACATTAGTTAAGGTAGGCTTTCCTTTACTATAACACGTGTCGTAATAAGGGGTATTTTAAAAGTCAAGTTTAGTAGCTTATAAAGACTACTATTATAAAACCTCGTAACTTTCTTCCAAGCTTACTTGCTTTATTATTAATATATTTTTATTCAAATAAAAATATAGGCTTTAATATTAATATTAGCAAGTTTATTATTATTAAATAGCTTATTAAATAGTTATATAAAGTTATTTACCTTATATATTATATATTATAAGAGCTTCTTATATTTTAATATAAAGTTAAAATATTAAATATATTAATTAATCTTTTAATTACTAATATTAAAGATAAGATATTAATTTTTACTTCTAAATAATAACTATTTTACTAACTTATATAAATAGTATTCTATAAATATATAATAGTACTATATATTTCTAATAAACTAATACTAATTAGTTTATATATATAAATCAGATAATAAAAAGAATTAAGCTATATTTATTTAAAATTTGGTTTCTTAGGAGCAAAGCTATTATTCTATATTAAAGAGGAAATAACTATTAATTACCTTTATTTATAATTTGGTTCTATAAGAAAAGAAAAGTATTTGATTTTACTAAGGCCCGATTATACTATATTAAAGAGAGGAAATAATAGTTGCCTTTATTTATAATTTGGTTCTATAAAGAGGAAAAATACTATTTCTTATTAAAATACTATAAATAGTTAATTATTTAACTATTTAATTATTCTATAAAACTATCCTTTTTATAAAAAATTTACTTTTCTTATAACTATCTAAATATCTAGAGCTCTTAAGCTTTAGAACTATTAAGTTCTTCCGGAATCTTAATATTTTATTTCTTAAATTTCACTTCCTAAATTTCTTATTATAAACGAAATTTTTATCTTAAATATAATAATTTCTATTTATTTATTTTATAAATCACCCTCTTTTTTACGAATTTATTCTTCTTATAAATTACTATATCTCGAATAAGATATAAGCCTATAGAACATATATTAATAAAACCTATTATAATAAATAATTTCTTTATTAAATTTATCTAATCTAATTATTTTATACCTATAGGAACTAATAATTTCAAGGAAATAATCATAAAATAAAAATATAAAATTAATCTAGATACTACTATAATATATAAGATATTTGAGTTTTTAAATACTAAGCTATTTTAATATATTCTCTATAAAATAATTAATAATAACCTTTAGAAACTATTTAGATATAACTTTAAGAACTTTATTTATTAAGTGAATTTTAATAAACTTGAACTTCCGGAAATACTATATCTATATAAGATCCTTTAGTATAGTAGTATATATATATAATAGAATACTAGTATTTTTATTTTTATAATTATTCTGTTTTCTATTATTAAAGAAAATATATAATATATTTAGATAAATAAGAATCTATTAGTAACTAGACTAGACCTTATTAAGAGACTAATTCTATTAGGCTTTATTATTCTTATAAAAAACAAGTACCTAGAACCTATTATCTTTAATATTCCTATATTACTATTACTATTTTCTTTTCTATTATTATATTCTATATCTTTACCAGATTTATATACTAGTATAAAAGCTCTAGAAATAAATAATATACTTTTACTAGCCCTATTACTATTACTATAACTATATCCGAATGCTTTTTAATTATTTTTTTTACCTTTAATTATAAGATTTATTAGAGAAGTTACTAAGATTTATACTAAAAAATAAAAGTATAATAAATCTAATAGTAATTTTAATTATAAACTTATTATTTTCCTTAATATTTACTAATATATAAAGC